TTTTAAAATTGTGAATTTTATGGCCCCAAGGTCAAGGGTTCTGGTGTTGGGGGGGGGCTCTATTGATTATATACTGATTCTTTGAAAATCTTCTCTGCTCCTAGGTATTAAATAAACCAACTAAGTGCATAGTTATGATGAGCAAGATTGCCTCAACCAAAATTGTGAATTTTATGGCTCAAGGGTTCAGGTGTTAGGGCTGGGCTCTATAGATAAAAATACATGAATTCTTTGAAAATCTTCTTCTCTGCTCCTAGGTATTAAATAAACTAACTAAGTGCATAGTTATGATGAGCAACAGTGCTTTTACCAAAATTGTGAATTTTATGGTCCCAGGGTCAGGGTTTCTGGTGTTAGGACAGGGCTCTATTGATTATATATTGCAAATACATGAATTCTTTGAAAATCTTCTTCTCTGCTCCTAGGAATTAAATAAACTAAGTACATAGTTATGATGAGCAAGAATGCCTCTTTTAAAATTATGAATTTTATGGCCCCAGGGTCAGGGGTTCTGGTGTTGGGGGGTGGGGCTCAATTGATTATATAATGAAAGTACATTAAATCTTTGAAATTTTTTTTCTTTGTTTCTGGGTATAAAGCAGATGAACTACCTTTATAGTTATGATGAGCAAGGGCCCGATTTGTAATTTCATAGCCCCAGGGTCAGGGGTGGGGTGGGGGCTCTACTTATATACTGAAAATGAATTTATTGTTTGAAATCTGCTCTTTTGTATTTATAAAACATTTATTTATTTTTTGATATTAAGGGTGCCTTTTTGAAATTTGTGCAATGTGTGGACCTAGGGTCAGGGGTTTATGTCACAGTGTTAGGGGCACTACTGGTAAGTTGGAATGCATTTTTGTTCCCCTACCCTACATATGGGTATTCAGTAACCAAGCTAAGCAACTGCTAAGTGTATTGTTATTAGGGGTGGGACGATATACCGATACACCGATACATATCGATATTTTCCTCTAAGATACGGTTTACGATACAAGCATTCAAATATCGGTACGAAACGATACACGAACGACCTATCTAAAAATTGAAAATGAAAGTACCTGTCTTTGAAAATGGCGGCCTGTACGAAGTCGGAAGGAAGAGATGGTGTTGATATTGAAAACACACTTTAGAACTAATAAGCCGTTGATTAGGGGTAATACGTTTTCACTTTTAAGCAGCTTCGGAAGATTGGACAAGAAAAGTTCAGAGGACAAAGCGTGTTATACACAGAAAAGTATCGTTTCCAGAACATTTGATATTATTAATTTAGTTCGTTCATACTTTTTTTTTGGTAATCTCAACTTGGCTACAGACTTTCAGCAATTAATAATAATGTACATGTGATGTTTTTAAAATGAATTTTTAGTCAGTGTTCGTTGATAAACTACACAACTATTTGTAAACAACTTGTTAATAGAAATTTGGTAATATGTACAATTGTCCAGTACTATTGTTTTGTAAAGTTTTAGTCAATGAAGTTGATGAACTTCAAGTTTTAATTTCATAGCACACATGATTTGATATAGAATAATTTTTTGAGTTAATGACAAGACAAAAAAATTAAATAAAATACCAATTCTTTTGAATAGTTTTATAATTTATCATGTTGTGTTAATGTCGAGACTAAAAAATTAAATAAAATACTATTTTTTAATAGTTTTATGATTTATCATAATATCGAGATACGTATCGTATCGTGCCAATATATCGAGATACGTATCGTATCGCAAGATCTGTGTATCGTCCCACCCCTAATTGTTATGATGATCAATGGTGCCTCTTTCAAAATTGTGAATGTCATATAGCATCTGGCTTAAAACATGAATCAAATTCAATAACTGGAAAATTGTTGCATAATGCTCAGGTGACCTATAAGGCCCGTGGGCCTCTTGTTTAAAACACCTGCTTAAATCTTTTTTAAATACACATTTAATTTAGTTTTTTTTAATAAGACATGAGGTTTTCCCTGTTTAATGTAAATACAAGGTTACTATTTAGGCTATCTAAATTTAATTCCTTGGTTCTCAGGCCAATTTTCTCCAAAACAGATGCGGGAGGGTGGCATTTTATTTTTCATTTTATTGGCAATAAAGTAGATGAGGGAGGTATTTTTTTTAATTTTAATTTCCGAATTTTCTTTAACATAAAGATAATTTTTTTAATCACAGATATACTTTCCATTTCTGGTCAAAATTTCTGCTTTATCCATTGCTTAAAAGCGTGTAAACATCGTAGGTAATGTCCTCGAATGTATTTTCAAACGAAGTAGCCAAAATCTCATTGTAAATGGCTACCGGAAGTGATATTTGAATACTAAACTAGGAAACAAATGAGGTCGGGAATTTTTTTCCCGGATTGGTCTCCGCAATACAACTTTTTATTTTATCAAAAATACAATAAAATCGGCAATGCGGCTACCTCAAAACGGATGCGCGCGGGCCTGAGAACCAAGATTTCAATTTTATATGGCCTTACAGGTTTCTTGGACATTCAGGAATTATCTTGAAATTTTAAAAATACAGTTTTTAGCTCTACTGGTCAGAGACCAGAAGAGCTTATGCGATAGTAATGCGTCCGGCGTCCGTCCGTCTGTCTGTCTGTCTGTCTGTCCGTCTGTCTGTAAACAATTTTTCAAAACGCTACTCCTCCTACAATTTTAGCCTGATTTCAATATAACTTGGCACACAAGTAGACTACACTAAGATACATAAAATAGTGCATCGGTTTTTGATTTCGATGAACGGTGTTGCCATGGTTACTAAAAATAGAATTTTCTGAGAAATTTTCTTTAAAACGCCACTCCTTCTACAGTTTTAGTCTGATTTCAATATAACTTAGCACACAAGTAGACTACACTAAGATACATAAAATAGTGCATCGGTTTTTTATTTCAATGAACGGTGATGCCATGGTTACTAAAAATAGAATTTTCTGAGAAATTCCTTTAAAATGCTACTCCTTCTACAGTTTTGGTCTGATTTCAATATTACTTGGCACACAAGTAGACTACACTAAGATACATAAAATAGTGCATCGGTTTTTGATTTCGATGAACTATGTTGCCATGGTTACTAAAAATAGAATTTTCTGTGAAATTCCTTTAAAACGCCACTCCTTCTACAGTTTTACTCTCCTTTCAATATCACTTGGCACACAAGTAGACTACACTAAGATACATAAAATAGTGCATCGGTTTTTTATTTCAATGAACGATGTTGCCATGGTTACTAAAAATAGAATTTTCTGTGAAATTCCTTTAAAACGCTACTCCTTCTACAGTTTTAGTCTGATTTCAATATCTTTTGGCACACAAGTAGACTACACTAAGATACATAAAATAGTGCATCGGTTTTTGATTTCGATGAACGATGTTGCCATGGTTACTAAAAATAGAATTTTCTGTGAAATTCCTTTAAAACGCTACTCCTTCTACAGTTATAGTCTCATTTCAATATCACTTGGCACACAAGTAGACTAGACTTAGATGCATAAAATAGTGAATCGGTTTTTGATTTCAATGAACGATGTTGCCATGGTTACTAAAAATAGAATTTTCTGAGAAATTCCTTTAAAAAGCTACTCCTTCTACAGTTTTAGTCTGATTTCAATATCACTTGGCACACAAGTAGACTACACTAAGATACATAAAATAGTGCATCGGTTTTTTATTTCAATGAACGATGTTGCCATGGTTACTAAAAATAGAATTTTCTGAGAAATTCCTTCAAGACGCTACTTCTTCTAAAGTTTTGGTCTGATTTCAGTATTACTTAGCACACAAGTAGACTACACTAAGATACATAAAATAGTGCATCAGTTTTTGATTTCGATGAACGATGTTGCCATGGTTACTAAAAATAGAATTTTCTGAGAAATTCCTTTAAAACGCTACTCCTTCTACAGTTTTGGTCTGATTTCAATATTACTTGGCACACAAGTAGACTACACTAAGATACATAAAATAGTGCATCGGTTTTTTATTTCAATGAACGATGTTGCCATGGTTACTAAAAATAGAATTTTCTGAGAAATTCCTTTAAAACGCTACTCCTTCTACAGTTTTAGTCTGATTTCAATATCACTTGGCACACAAGTAGACTACACTAAGATACATAAAATAGTGCATCGGTTTTTGATTTCGATGAACTATGTTGCCATGGTTACTAAAAATAGAATTTTCTGTGAAATTCCTTTAAAACGCTACTCCTTCTACAGTTTTAGTCTCATTTCAATATCACTTGGCACACAAGTAGACTACACTAAGATACATAAAATAGTGCATCGGTTTTTGATTTCGATGAGCGGTGTTGCAATGGTTACTAAAAATAGAATTTTCTGTGAAATTCCTTTAAAACGCAACTTCTACAGTTTTGGTCTGATTTCATTATCACTTGGCACATAAGTAAACTACACTAATTTACATAAAATAGTGCATCGGTTTTTTATTTCAATGAACGGTGTTGCCATGGTTACTAAAAGTAGAATTTTCTGTGGAATTCCTTTAAAATGCTACTCCTTCTACAGTTTTGGTCTGATTTCAATATAACTTATCACACAAGTAGACTACACTAAGATACATAATTCTGTGCATCGGCTTTTGATCAGTACAAACCAGTAGAGCTACAGTCTTGACAGAGACTTCTGGTTACTTATAGACTTCATATATTTTTAAAAATAAAAATGTAATCAAGTAAAACTCCCATTCAATGAGCTGCATCTTTATATTTCTACCCCTCAGCGGGGCCCTTGCTGACTGGTCAGTTTTCTAGTTTAGTTCATGTAATGTTATATTTGCTCTTGTTAATCAACAACATTCCTGGCTTATGTACAGCTTTGAATAGGGAAGTCATACATGTACATGCAAAAATTTTCCATCAATAAAGGATTTTGTTCATGAGGGGAGGCAACTTTCCATGTCCAACAATTATGCAAGAATCTGAGAATAAGAAGAGGAAAGTTGAAAACTAGCTTTATTAATTTTTTTTTTTTTGGAAAGGTTTCCCAGACCTGTCCTGTACATTTGATGACCCATCGTCTTGCCATTTTGAAGTTGATCACCCAAAAAGTTTGATTCCTCCTTCATTCAGATGGAAGCTCTCCAAGAGCAATGAAACTTCAGGTAATGCATGAATTCTACAACTTTACATATGAGTTGAACTTTTTTTAACTCCATCTCCTGCCCACTGCTTTTATAAAAAAAAATGTATCACTTATCTACAAAATCTTTTTTTTTTGCCTTTTGGTTTTAGATGCTAGGATAGGCACTTTGATAACCACTATTTTTAAAATTGATCATAAATTTAAGATATTGCATGATTTTAACTTTGAGCATATTTGGAAACATTTCTTCTTATGGATGTGTAGATAGATTCCAAGCATTTGGTGTAAGATTTGAATTGATCAGTCTTGTCTAGATATTTCTAAGGGAGCATACTTTGCATCAGATGCTGCAGTGTCTTCAAATATACTGGCCCTTTGAGCATGTGCTTGTTGACATACCAAGAGAGTACATTGCATAATTAGACTATCAAGTTCTTATTAGAACAAGAAAATGGTAGTAACGAAGGCAACCTTTTATTTACTCTATCAGCTGGCTCAGTGGACAGTGGCTCCGTTGGCAATCAAAATGTGCGACTCGTTGGAGGGGGGACCCCAAACCGTGGCCGTGTTGAGCTCTACTACTCAGGTGTGTGGGGGACAGTGTGTGATGATGGCTGGGACTCGAGAGATGCTGGAGTCATCTGTGTGATGCTAGGATATCAAAGGTGTGTAATCTAGATCAACTGATTCTGCGTTGCTGGTTATAAGATGAGCATTTTACATTGAGGCCTGGCATGAATCATATTGCCCTTCTGTCTTAATGTTTATCCAGCATCACATTGGGATACAATTAGTCAGAGTACATATTTTCTATTTTGTACTGAAGCACTTTACCTTTGGAGAAAGACATGTTTAGATTTTGTTGTCATATCACTTGGTATGTGTCTGAATGTATATTGAAACCCTAAACTAGTGTTAAAATTGCAATCTTATTAAATCAGAGTAGGAGGGGAGGTAAATTTTGGTGATGTCCAACTTGTATGCAAGTCTTAGAGTAGAAAAATTAGCTTTTTCTGGGAAAGGAAATATCAGACCTGTTTACTCTTACGATTTCACCGTATTTTGTACGGATTTTTAGTCTAAAATACGTCTCACGTTTTGCCATTATGAAAATACGGAAATCGGAAATACGTTAGTTTGGAATTTAACAGTTAGTTTTTGTAATGATCTGTCTTAGTTTTACTCTATTTATCGCTAAATAAGAAAAAGATTTCAAACACATGAGCGATGTCAGGTTGCCAAAACGCTGTGGTATTATGAAATAACAGACTTTGTTGTTAAACCATGTTTTTGTAATCAGAAAAGCAGCTTTTCTCTTTTAATAATATGTAAAATTGATGGAAAGTGAAATCTTACTGGCAAATACCAAATCTCACGGACAAATCTAATAAAAAATACTGAGAGACAGCGTTATGGGTAAACAGGTCTGAAATATATACTAATTATCCAATGATAATTGCAAATAAAGGTTAACCAGAACTTAATTGGGATAGGAAAATTTAAGATAATCAGAAATCAAAGCGCTTTTCCATTTTAGATTTCTTAGTGTCTATTAGATCCATAGACTTAACTTGGATAACTTGTTACATCAAGACTTTTATTATTAGCTCACCTGAGCCAAAGGCTCAAGTGAGCTTTTCTGATCACATTTTGTCTGTAGTCCGTTTGTCCGTCCGTCTGTCTGTAACTTTTCACATTTTCGACTTCTTCTCAAGAACCGCTGGGCCAATTTCAACCAAACTTGCCACAAAGCATCCTTACCAAAGGATTCTTCAAACTGTTCTTCAAAACATCTTCTCCAAAATAGAAAAGCTATAATTAATCATATTTATATGGAAGTATCCTCAGATAGTGTAGATTCAAATTTGTTGAAATCATGTGCCCCGGGGTGGGGGGGGTGGGGGCAAAATGGCCAACAAAGTTTTACATAGAAATATATAGGAAAATTCTTTAAAAATCTTCATCTCAAGAAAATCAAAGCTATAATTGATCATATTTATATGGAAGCATTCTCAGGTAGTGTAGATTCAAGTTTGTTCAAATTATGACCCCTGGGGGTAGGGCGGGGCCAAAATGGCCAACTAAAGTTTTACTTAGAAATATATAGGAAAATTCTTTAAAAATCTTCTTCTCAAGAATAGCAAAGCCATGATTGATCTTGGGACTACTTTAAGATTTAAACTTTTCAATAATAAACCAATTTCTACTTTTTCCTAGCCACATTGCTCAGGTGAGCGATGTGGCCCATGGGCCTCTTGTTAAGCCTGTTGTCTAAATGATATATATTCAGATAATTAATAGTCTATAGCAAGATTAAACTACTGTTTTAGAGCCAATGCCATTGCTTATGGCGGTGCATACTTTGGATATGGGACAGGACAGATCTGGCTGGATGATGTTGGATGTACTGGGACAGAGACAGATATATCCATGTGCTATCATTATGGATGGGGAAATCATAACTGTGGACACAGTGAAGATGCAGGGGTAGCATGTTCAGGTGAGCTTCTGATTGGATTAAATTCATCAAATAAAACATTACTTACAATTTGGAATAGAAATAATTTATTATATATTAAATTATAAATAAACATTAATTCATCAAATTAGAAATTTCATTAGTACTTCATTTTACATGAACTTTCAATGTCTTATGCACATGCAATTTTATAAAACATGTTAGAATAGCTTATTCAATACAGACAATGATTTCATTATACATTTTAGAGAAGCTTATTCAATACAGACAATATGATTTTAAAACAGGTACTCGTACTCTACCATCTACCACAGAGAAGCCTGGAGTCCCTGTAACATTGACAGACAGAACCTACTCCACAGGTAGGCTATTGTAGTTTGATGTTAGTGACCTCCTAATCCTTCTCAGATTGTTTGTATGTTTCTACCACTTCAATCAATCATTCCACAGGGGCGGTGATCCTTGCTGATGCCAGTCAGGGTGAGGCTGGAGAGGTCACAACCTTTACCATCCCTCTGAACACCACGGTGGGGGAGAAGCTGAGAGTTCTGTTCAGGTTTTCTTATGGAGTCTGTAATGACACTAGTAGGCTGGAGGTAAGAATTTTTATCTTCATACACTTATTCTTATATTTCATGCTCTCAAATAAAACAGCAATCAGACTGAGGTTCCCAAATTTGATATCTTTAGGAAGGGAAAAGGAGGGGGGGCTTCTTCATGCCACTGTTTTCTTCAGAAGAAAAATTCACGATTCTATCAATAGAGATGCTTAAAAATATAATTCCAGCATCATTAGAGCTATTTTGTTAGTATATATATATATATATACACAAATGTGTTTCTCTATGTGTTTGTAAAATTTAAGGTAATTATACCCCCTTCATAGAAACAGACCTGTTTATTCTTACGATTTCGCCATAATTTGTACGGATTTTTAGTCTAAAATACGTCTCACGTTTTGCCATTTTGAAAATACAGAAATCGGAAATACGTTAGTTTGGAATTTAACAGTTAGTTTTCGTTATGATCTGTGGTAGAGCGTTCGCTTCGTGATCGGGAGGCCCGAGTTCGATTCTCGTTCTCGGCGCCGCGTCATACCTAAGACGTAAACAAAGGTAGTGACTGTTCCTTCGCCAAGCGCTCGGCACTAGAAGTGAAAGTCACGGGTCTTTCGGATATGACCTTAAAAAACGTAGGTCCCGTGTCACGGTAGGCGTTGGCACGATAAAGAACCCTCACTGCTCAATGGCCCTGAGTGCCGAGTATAGGTCTAAATTTGAAGCCCTTCACTGGCATCGGTGACGTCTCCATATGAGTGAAAAATTCTCGAGAGGGACGTTAAACAATATACAATCAATCAATCAATCGTTATCTGTCTTAGTTTCACCCTCTTTGTCGCTAAATAAGAGAGAGATTTCAAACACATAATTGATGTCAGGTTGCCAAAACGCTGTGGTATTATGGAATGACAAATACCTTGTTGTTAAATCATGTTTTGTGTAATCAGAAAAGCAGTTTTTCTCTTTTAATATATGTAAAATTGATGGAAAGTGAAATCTTACTGGCAAATGCCAAATCTCACGGACAAATCTAATAACAAATACTGCGAGACAGCGTTATGGGTAAACAGGTCTGTAGAAAGGAGGGCATATTGCTTTGCTTCTGTCTGCCGGTCGGTCCACTTAGTTTCTGTTCATTTTCTTCACAAACTTTGCACATACGGAAAAGAAATTTGATATACAGATTTATCAAATGAATATCTAGGTCATGTTCTGTTTTGGGTATGATCCCGCCATTTTTGACAGATTTTTTCCCCTTGGACTTGGAAAAATTCCATTTGGGGGAGGGGGGCATAAGTGTTTTACAAATATCTCTTGTTTTTTAAATGTGCTATTCACAGTTTTGGAGACTATTTTAGAATATGTTCTGATCTAGAAAATTTGCAGCTTTTATATCAGTTTAAGTTTTGGTATATTGATCATATTTATATAATAAGCACTTTTTGTAATGGTTTTATAATCAGATCAGACAAAGTGAAGCAGGGTCATCCTCTTTGTTGTGGGGGTCCACAAGTAAGGAAGTGGATTCCTGGCAATGGCTGTGCTTACCTCTCAAGGACGATGCTCAAGGTCAGCTGGAGTTCAAGGCCATTCGTGGGTCAAGTGCTTTAGCAGATGTACAGATAGATACAGTTCATGTCTCCAGGGAAAAATGTCCACGTAAGTATATCTTTTAACAATGGACTATTCCTCAGTATTTCACAGAAGCTTAATTTGCACTGTTCATTTTGTAAATATACATGTACACTAGTAAATATTTCAATAATTGGTTACTTAAAAGACTACATGCGAATTCAGGATTTTTTAATTTTCATATTAATTTATTACCTCCTTATAACAATTCTAAACATTAATCAAAGACATACCAAGTAAATGTGTCTTTTGTGTTTTCTGTAGACGTTGCTTCATGTAGCTTCGAGTCTGCAAAGATTTGTAATTATATCGTGCAACAAAGCACCTCTCAATTCCACTGGTCAAGGAGCAGTACCAATATCGGTGGTGTTGCTTTTGGAGATCCTGTATATGGCAAGTCAGGTAAACCAGCCTCCTCTGATTCTTGTTTATTGTACATCTATAACATTGAATTCAATGATGACTGAGCACTCTGGTGAATGTTGTTTTAATTCATTTTCAGGACACTACATGTACACACAGAGTTGTGTGAACTCCATGCCTGTCCGGGAAGGTGCCACGGCAAGCCTCTCTACACCAAGGTTTCAGACCACATCAAACATGCATGTGACGTTTTACTACCTCCTGAGTGGATCTGATATAGGGGTCCTGAATGTATACATGAACTCAGACTCCAGCCCCACCCCCCACAAAGTCTTCTCAAAGGCTGGTAATCAGGGAACACACTGGTACCTGGCATGTGTAGACATACAGGGCAATAATAACAACGTATCTGTCTCTTTTACTGCGTATCAGGGCTTAGGATGTAATGCTACATTTGGAATTGACCATGTGATGGCAGAGGAAGGGTCCTGTCCTTGTAAGTTTTTCTTAAATTTAACACAACAAAAATGTGTTGTCACAAAAAAAGAAAACTCATTTTCTGAGTTATGCCAGGATATATATGTCTAAAAGTAAAAATCAAGAATCAATGTTAAGGATGATTTTGTGTGTGTTTTTTTATGGCGTCGGGCTTGCCCGATCGTCATCTAGCGATCAGTCAGGTTTACGCGACCGCACGTGTCAGTGGATGCATCCGCAATAGAAAATAACAACAGCTGTAAACCAATTTCTTTTAAAACGTTTACAATGAGTAATAGCTTGAATATAAAATTAAATCAATTGTATCTTCAATTAATTCTACTAAAAACAACGATATTATGTTGAATTTTTACGCAAGAAAAACGTTATGGTTGTTGCGGTTGAATTTCTACAGAGAGGGTGCGTCGAATGACATGAATCACATTTTGGGACCGATTACTGTACATACAAACAATCTTAAATACGGTAAAATAATTACAAAATAAACACGAATGCAACAAGACTATAAAGATTGAATTATTTAATCTTAGCTTTACTTTTACGATCTTCAATCCAATTTTATCCGAACAACCGACGATATGCCAGTATTCTTCGATTGACTGAAAAGAAATTAGATTGATATAGAGGATGGACATTTCTGACGATGTCTGGTCAATTCGAACCCTGACTCATTCGGATCAGGACACAAGGCTATCAGGCCCTATACTGTATTTGTGTTGACTATTTTTTTTTTAATTTTATTATTATGTTACCGGAGTCACTTACTTGACCTATCTGCAGATCTTTTGAAATTGTTTTTCTTGTTCGACGCCATTGAAGCCTTTCAGGCTTTTGATTTTTTATTATTGTTTGTTGAAAAATATAATTTATTTCAAAGAAATACGCAATCATTTAACAAATAGCTGACAAAGGGCACTGATAAAGTGTAATTTTAAGTGCAAAAAATATGTAATGGGATATATGCCCAATATAGTTCAAGTGTAAAATTGTCAAAATATGTGAGGACCAAAAAATGATCTGATAAGTGCCAAATGTACATGTGTGTACACATTTATACAGTTGATATACCAGATGAACGTTGACAAGTGATTGATGTTTTTCAGACCCATTAGTGGATTTAATGTGTGATGTAGAAAATCCAGACTTGTGTCGGTACCAGTCAAACTGCACCGAGGGATCTAAGTTCCAGTGGGCCAGGGGCTCAGGTGAAACTCCCTCCTCTAACACCGGACCATTTACTGACGGAAACGGTAATCCAGCAGGTAGGAGGAAAGTTCTCATAGCTTTTGATTTTTGTATAGATTAGGAAATTTAAATTATAGAGGTCACTTGAACATCTTTAAAGGAAATTTTGATTAAATAAATACAGTGAAGTAGAAATGAGTTTCTTCTAAAATTTAAATTATAGAGGTCACTTGAACATCTTTAAAGGAAATTTTGATTATATAAATACAATGAAGTAGAAATGAGTTTCTTCTAAATGTTTGACTAGGTCATTACCTATTTGTGGAGGCCTCTGATGGAATGCCTGGAGACCAAAGTTTTCTCTGGTTCCCGCCCCTACAGACAACTCAGACCTCCAGTTTACAGTTTAAGTACCACATGTATGGGGACCAGACAGGGGAACTTGCAGTCTGGAGCCGAGATATCGGTACAGGTGTACTAAACCAGCTGTGGTCCAAAGCCAGCAATCAGTGGCAGTACTGGCACAAGGTAAAGGTTTCTACATGTAGAAAAGTGGAATGGTTGATAATAAGATTTCTTATTTTCAAAAGAGAAAATATGTAGGAAAAAATATCAAATATTTATCGAACCTAATTTGAAACCAAAGATGTATTTTGATGTATAATAATGAAAAAAATTGGTGTTTTCTGAACGGAATGCATATACTTAAGACAAAAATAGGTCCTGCATGACTCTGAGATTAACAATGTTTTACTGGAATGGAAATAGAAATTTCTAACATTTTTTTGACAGGGATGTGTCACTATCCCAGTTTCTTCCCAATTTGAACTGTATTTTGTTGCCCAGAAAGGCACTGGACATAAATCTGACATGGCATTAGATGATATTGTGATAATGAGTGCTGCTTGTTCAGGTATTTGGATATATATAATTACATGTACTAGTTTATATTCTGTTAAACATTATAATATATCAATGAGTTTAGTGTGTCAAACTCTGTATGTATATTATTTGTTTCTGTTGTATCTTCATCATTAATCATAGCCAACATCAAATTAAAAAGAAAAAAAAGTTTTTTTTAAAAAAATAATTCAAATATGACCTCAAAGACATCTTAAAAAGAATTGAGTTAATAAATATTTTGTTCTATAGATACATCAGTAAGTTGTGATTTTGAGGATGATTTCCTCTGTGGCTACCTGAATCAGAGCGTTGCCCACTGGACAAGGGTTAACTATACAAACACCAGCTACCCAGCCTCCTCAACTAGTAAGACAGGTAATGGAATGGATGTTGTTAGTAGTCAACTGTAGTTTATAGTCAGCTAAAGGGTAATAACATTGTCTCTATGTTGTTGATCCAACGGTGATGTACCTCAATAAATATATGTTCATGTAACAAATACTACTCACATCTTATATAAAACATTAAAGTTGCATTTATAATGGATCATTTCCTAACTAGTGTTTGAGATTAAGCTGAAAGTAATTGCAGTTCATTTACAATATCATCATAAACATACTCTATACTTATGTTAATCAAGCAAAACTAAAAGAAATTGTGATATTGAACAAGTTTCCATCTTGCCTCCTAACTTGTAATCTGTTTTAAATACTGTATAAAACATGTATATACCATGTCTCTGTTTGTATAATTTGACAGGAAGCTACATTATGAGTTCCTCTAACTCCTCCATCATGTTGTCCCCGAGCTTGTCTCACCCCGGGGGCACGGGTTGTGTTCACTTTGAATACTTTGCTCACCATGGAGGAACCAACAGATCCCTCCTGTCCATCCAGCTGTTGGAGGAAACAGAACAAGGCACAAAAAGAAACATGTGGAACCGGTCCAGGGTCACTGACGGCTTCTGGTACAACGGACAGTTTCAGTTTGATCTCCCCTCCAGGAATTTCCGCTTAGCTTTCCTGGGTGAAGCAGAAGATGGGAGCTTTGTAGCTGTTGATAATGTGACAGTACTCAGTGGAGATTGCCCTCCACTAGGTTTGGAAAATAAATATTTATCTTGTCTGAGATAGAGTTTAGAAGCTTTCCATTGCATTGAACTTGTTATTTTATAGAAGGAAATGTTTAACAACCATCATCATGGTATTGCAAAGGTTAAACTGAATGCTGTTAATAATTTAATCATATCTACTACAGTCCAAGAAAATAGAATTATCCCTAAAAGCCTTTTAAATTTATTAACTGTAAAACAATATTTTATGCCCACTTATAAGACAAAATTGCTAAATTTGCTACTGTAAATAACTTTTTATTCGCGAGAACTTTATTTTCATTCTCGCGTATAATAGAATTCCTTAAGATTATATAAAGCAAAGACCACAATTCGTGAAAATTTTTTCTCTCTTATAAAGAGTCGATGACTATCTCGCGAAAATAAGGTGTCACGAAAATTAAGTGATCTACAGTAGTTGCTAAAATATTTATTCTTTTATATTTTACTCCTGTTTAACTTAAATAACTTGAATATCGAATTTCGCAAATCTCTGTTATTTCTGGTTTTAGAGTGTCCTTCTAATTTGTTCTCCTGCTCAGACCAATGTATTTCATATGATTATGTGTGTGACAAAATTCCTCAGTGTCAAAACGAAGAAGATGAAACACTTCTATGTTGTAAGTATATATGATTGATTAGTATGGAGTGTATCATGTGACTTAATTTGTTTAGCATGGCTTGTATCATGATTTTATTTATTTTAGCACAGATTGTATCGTGATTTTATCCGTTTTACCACAGTGTATCATATGATTTTATCTGTTTTAGCACAGAGTGTATCATGTGACTTTATCTGTTTAAGCACGGAGTGTATCATGTGACTTTGATGATTCCTACCACTGTGGCTATGTCAACGGTTCTTCGTCAACCCCAGTCTACTGGTTAAGGACGCTGAGTGTGAATGGAGAGATTATTACTGACCACACTAAACACACTTCTAGAAACGGCAGTTCACTAGGTATGAGAAATCTTTCTGATTTTTATCATTGAAAGGTGTTTTAGCTGCCTGAGCGAAAAGCTCGGGTGAGCTTTTCTGATCAACCCTTGGTCGTCATCCATCCACCTGTAAACTTTTCACATTTTCAACTTCTTTTCAAGATCCACCTGGCCCATTTTAACCAAAGTTGATACAAAGCATCCTTGGTTGATGGGGGAGACAAGGGGTTAAATTGTTTAGGTAAAGGGCCAAGTCCCGTTACAAGGGAAGATAAGCAAGAAAAGACAAAAATAGAGAGGAGTCATTGAAAAATCTTCTCAGGAACCATCTCGCTAAAAAAGCTGAAACTTAGATGGAAACATTCTGTGCTAGTCTAAATTCTAAATTGGTCAAATCATGACCCCAGGGGGTAAGGCAGGCCACCATAGGGAATGAAAGTTTTACATTGAAATATATCTTTAAAAATCTTCTTCACAAGAACCATTGGGCCAAAAATGCTGATTCAGAAACTTATGGATGCATCCTAATGAAGTAAAGGTTCTAAATTGTTCTCATTGTGACTCTGGGGTAGGACGGGCCACAATAGATATAACAAGGGGGAAACCTGGTGAAGAACAGCAGTGCCAAAGTTACTCAAGTGAGGGTGTGGCCCATGGTTATCTGGAAAGTTGGCATGTAGGGGCATCGATAGTACCCTTAAAATCTCATATCCTTGGATATCTTGAAGTTTTCCTTGGTCTCAAGTGTAAGATAACAACGTTGGTCTGATGTTGTAACATTGAAATCAGTAAATGAAATAATGAGTCAAAAGCAATTTGCAGAGATGGACAACAAATTAAAAAAAAAAAAGAATGTAAAAAAAAATATGTATAGAAAAAAATAATGCTTGATCTTTGGCAAAACAAATTAGTTATTTCAGCTAGCTTACTGACCAAGTATCATTGTGCTGGCATGGAATATTGGGCTTTAAGTTGTAATATCTTGAATCTTTTCACCAAACCCAATTAATCTGAGAATATTTAGAATTGTATAAACACCAACACCCCCCCCCCATGAATAGAAAAAAAATTAGTACGTCATTTGTTGATATTTTTTTATGATGAAGCTCTCTCTTGCAGGTTATTTCTTGGGATTCCAGACCAGTTACACAACGCCTGTTCGTCTAAATGCTCCCACAGAAAACATTACAGTCGATTCTTGTCTCAAGTTCTACACATTTGGAAACAGAAACTTATGGGTGGGAAATTACTCACAATATCTTCTAACTGCCATCAGTGAAAGCACAATATGGAGACCATACCAGGTATCAAAGAAATTTTGGTCTTATTGGCTGGCTATAATTTTCAAAATTAATTTCAAATTGGCATATACTGTAAAATCACATATTTTTGTGGGGTTAAATTTTCGAGGTATAAAGGGAAAATATTGGTTAGTTGGGATTTGATTTCGAGGTTTGAGAATGAAAAATAGTAATACATTTGAAATTTTACATTTCGCAGTGGACATAAATTCATGGGACTCTCCGTACCTTGAAAGGAATGAAAATTAAACCCCAACGAAAATTAGTGATTTCATAATGTGCTATGATTTTTAGCATCAGTAACTTTGTCTTGATATTGTAGATACTAGTGGAAGCTGGAATATTGACCTTACAATTTTACTGGCCAGGAACATATACGTATGAAAATAAATACGCAGGGTTGGATGATGTGTCAATCACAGCAGGCGCTTGTCTGCCTATTGGTATGGTCCAGCTTTAAATACTGAATGATAATTTTACAAAGCCATTTGAAAATGAAATTCTTGGCATTTACTTAAATTTCAAAATCTTGCTATATGATTATTATGTATACAGGTGACTCGAGATATCTCAAAGTTCAAGGGACCGCAAGAAAAGTTCGAGAGATCGAGGGGTTCGAGAGATAGAAAGTAAAAAAATCCGGAATTTTCAGTTCCGATCACCGAAGTTCTATTTTTATAGATACCAGAAGTATATGTAAATAAAGTCATTGCACGTTTTCAATCGTATTTGACAGGTAATTAACATGATATCAACAACAATGATTGTATTTCGAATAAATAAAACGAATTTCTAAAGTTTCAGTATAAATAAAACGAATTTCTAAAGTTTCAGTATTTATTTGTTCCTATTTCATGGTTACATGAAACCGAATAGCAATTGTTGGTTTGGCTATTCCGCGGCTTGATCAGGACCTTCAATGGTGTTCACCAGATTTTTCTTAATCGGTATTCAGTCCTTGAGAAAGGAATTTTCTTGTGCAATATTTGCCATGCTGGAATTATTAAGACTCTATTTAATCATAATAAAAGTTCATAGTCTATCGGAACTTACTGAAACGAACATCTATAAATTAAATTTCTAAAAATTATCATCTAAGTTTCAATTTGAAATAAGTTACGAATTTGTTTATAATCTACCCTGTAATTAATAACCAATTAATTATATCAAAACACCGACGACCCACAGGTGTAGTGTCATCTATGTAAACACCCAATTGACACCTCAATGCCAGCCCAAGGCTTTCATTGTTTCAAGGTAACTCCAGACTGCATCAATTTTACGCTTGATTGGAGTGTATAAACGCGCAATCAAAACTTCGAGAGATAGAGAGTAAAATTCAATGAAATAAGTGTAACGGGACCAAGATTTTGGTTCGAGAGATAGAGAACTTCGAGAGATAGAAGTTCGAGAGATCAGGAGTATATTTGCTTAATTATATAGAGGGAAAAAACGGGACCGGAGGTTCACTTTGAGAGATTGAGAACTTCGAGAGATCGGAGTTCGAGCCATCGAGAGTCACCTGTATTAGAAAATATAATCATCCACTGTGATCAAGTCTCAAACTAGTTTAATTAAACTCTAAATTAGTTGTTTAGCGAATGACAGATTATATGTGTGTACATAATATTTCTATACATGTTTTATTGTAGTTTGTCCTCCTGAGATGTTTGCCTGCGGCACCACAACCTGTCTTCCTAATTCACTTAAGTGCGATCGGAAAGTGGACTGTGTCTCTGGAGAAGATGAGATTGGGTGTCGTAAGTAACACATAATGTATCATGGCAGTTTTCTGCAGTTGTCCTTATTTTTTTTTTTTTTTGGCCTCTGAGAGAAATCTGTCAAATTCAAGAATGACAAACATTTATTAGAACAAAGAATGATCTCTTTTTATGCAAATTCTGAACAATCCATATAGAAGTATGTAAATTTTTACAGCTTTCAACATAACCTGTGACTTTGAGAGTAACAACTGGTGTGGATACTCAGTAGGAACGAGGTTTACTCGCAGACAAGGCAATTATTTCTATCTCCCCAACCAGGACCACACAACTGGCACCCTACAAGGTAAAATAGAAACTAGAGTTTATCTTGGTTTACATGAATTAGACAAAGAAATGTTCAATGTGGTGTAATTTGTTCATTAAATGTTCATTAAATCATGTTTTATTTTTAACCTTTATTTAATTTTTAAAAAATTATGAAAACCTTAAAGTTTTATATTATTCATCAGAACAATCTATGTTTGTCTGCAATAGGGCACTACATATACTTCAGCAGTGAGGATGGGTATGTGGCTAACGCCACTAGCCCTGTAGAAGTTTTAGATGATGGATGCTTGTCATTTTATTACAACATGGAGGGAGGGCCATCAGCCCAGCTCAGTGTGTACGTCATCATAAATGGCACCAGCACGCTACGCTTCGTGCGTGATGGAGTGAGAGTGAAGCGAGATCAGTGGGTTAAAGGTCAGATTCCAGTGAAGGGAGGTAGGATCTATGTGGAGTTTGAGGCCTATGCTGATTCGTACTTTGACCAGCCTGGTGTTGTGGCTATTGATGATGTCCAGTATACAGAGGGGGAGTCCTGTCCCCAGGAAGGTAAGGGGCTCTGTTTATTGAGAATCTTTTGGCAGTAACTCCATTGAGTTTTCTTACGAAAGCCCTAAATGCATTTAAGCCAATGTATTCAATAGGGATGACTAGGTGTAAATTTTTGAAGCAGCTAAGTTTATGGAGCAGGTCAATACCCAAATATCTATTTTCCCTTACTGGACTAATACATAACAATTACTGAAATTGCTTCAGATGCTGGATCTGACCTACATTTTTCAGATGAGTGAATAAGTTATTGTTAGCTCACCTGAGCCGAAGGCTTAAATGAGCTTTTCTGATCACATTTTGTCCGGCGTCCGTCTGTCTGTAAACTTTTCACATTTTCGACTTCTTCTCAAGAACCGCTGGGCCAATTTCAACCAAACTTGCCACAAAGTATCCTTGGGTGAAGGGGATTTAAGTTTGTTCAAATGAAGGGCCAGGCCCTCATTTAAGGGGAGATAATTGGGAATTAATGAAAATTTGGTGGCATATTTTAAAAATCTTCTTCTCAAGAACCACTGTGCCAGTAAAGATGAAACTTATGGGGAGACATCCTCAGGTAGTGTAGATTCAAATTTGTTCAAATCATGACCCCCGGGGGTAGGGCGGGGCCACAATGGGGATTCAAACTTTTACATAGAAATATATAGGAAAATTCTTTAAACATCTTCTTCTCAAGAATGACAAAGCCATAATTCATCATATTTATGTGGAAGCATGTTCAGGTAGTGTAGATTCAAGTTCGTTCAAATCATGACCCCCGGGGGTAGGGCGGGGCCACAATGGCCGACGAAAGTTTTACATAGAAATATATAGGAAAATTCTTTAAACATCTTCTTCTCAAGAATGACAAAGCCATAATCATCATATTTATATGGAAGCATGCTCAAGTAGTGTAGATTCAAATTTGTTCAAAATGAAATCATGACCCCCAGGGGTAGGGTGGGGCCAAAATGGCCGACCAAAGTTTTTAAAGATATACAGTAGAACCCCGTTATTACGATGATCACTTTGTTACGGTAAAATATCGTAATACCGAGGGCAACGTAATAAAAGTTCCCAATAAAATCCAGTAAAACGTCGTTTGGAAAACGTGTGATTGTATAAAGGGGTGTATTTTTATCCTTCTATCTCCTTTTTATGCTCAAATTCTTAACCAATATGCTATATACACTTAATTCATTGATAACTTATCTTTAAAACTTATTTTCAAGATGTTATTTCTTCTTTTTCCATCATAGTATAAGCATAGAGCATATTTTTTAATAGAAACTTCGACAATCTTCTTTTAATTGCCGCCATTTTCTGCTACATATACTTTCACTTTCGTTTCTGTCCAGATAATGCGTTCGTGAAAATTTCAATGTCTTCATAGTCATAGTCATTTCTTTATAAACAACAACCAAAATTCTGATTATTTTATTCTCTTTGTATTCAATAAAAAGTCATTTCTAAATAAACAGCAACATTTTTTTTTATTCAAATAAAAAGGTCAAAGTAAATAGACAAGCAATCTGTCAAAATATTTTTTTAAAATTACTGAACAGAGGTCAATTAGCAGTTCAGCAATTATCTATTTGTATTTCTGCTGACAACTGAGAGGTAGTCCTAGCCACTATCCAAGCTGTTAAAACGTTTGTAGAGGAGTTCAAATTTTGTCCTAATGATGTTTGATACCCAAGCTGTTAATTCACGCAGTTTATTTGCAAACGAAATTACACATGTGTACCTGTGTACAGCATATAATTATATGCATAATATTAAATGTTACCTTTTATTTATTTAATTAATTTATTAAACTAAGTATGAAATAAAGAATAAAAGAATTTTTAAAAAATTACAGTGATAGATAAAGAAGCTAGATTTATGAGTTAACTTTAATTGTTGAACAATGGCTTTGGCACGTCTCCAAATCTGCTGGGCTCGCTGAAACAGTCCAGGTGGGTGCAATCAAGCGTCACTAATCACCTAACTGCCCTGTAAGTTAACACTCTCTCAAAGCACAGGTGTTCCAATGTTTATTTAGTGTCTCATTAAGTGTCTACCAGCAATCAACACTGAATAAACACGGAGTGAAAAAAATTTTGACAGAATTTTTACATCGTAATACTTAGACCTGGCGTTTTTGGACAACGTAATAAACGGTTCTTTTTTGTATAGTTTTGTTAAGAAATGGTTTTGTGCTTTGAATTTACAACGTAATAAGCGTTCTATCGTATAAAACCGTCACCGTAATAGCGAGTCTCTACTGTATATAGAAAAATTCTTTAAAAATCATTTTCTAAAAAATAGCAAATCCATGATTGGTCATGGGACTACTTTTGGATTTAAACTTTACAATAAAAAGCCATTTTCTTCTTTTTCCTACCCTTAGTGCTCAGGTGAGCAATGTGGCCCATGGGCCTCTTGTTTTTGGAGTAGGTTTAATGCAACATAAAAGTCAGACGCTTAATACTGGGACAATATTACAATTTTTCTTGCTATCACAGCTCTGTAGAAAATGATATACTGTAAAACGTATTACATGTGGCTGTGTATTCTTTTTGGTGGAAAGATACTTAGGCTAATTCAAGTACATTTCTAAATGTCTTAAACATTGATACATGAATAAGAACATCGAGATATCGGATGCGCTAAATCAAATCTATGCTGATTTGTTTTAAAATCTTTTTCTGCCAAATTTTGTACATGCTAAATATATTACATTTATAGTATTTCAAAAAAATATATGATATGCCAGTAGATACATATAAAAAAAGTTTTACAATGTGGACATCAATTTACTAATGGCATTCATGTATATCACAGGATTTTTCATAAAATACGTAATCTGGTATGTTTAACATATTTTATGTTTTTGCAGCATGTCGCACTGATGAATTTGAATGCAGGGATACAGGATTATGCATTCCACGCTACCTGACAATGGATGGTGTTGCAGATTGTGGAGATTCATCTGATGAAAGTAAGCTTTTATTCTTTTATATTGATAGTATTACAAGGGGAAAAAGGGAAGGCAAAGAAAATTTGCTCCTTGCTTTAACTCTTTATTCAGTTTTCTTTTCTATGAATGTTGTATTTTCAAAGATAAATAATTTTCTCTGTAATTAGTTACTGAAAATTTTATGAAATATTTCATCATTTGTATTTTGTTTAGAAATTGTACTTGATTTAATAGAGTTGAGAAGTGGTATGACTAAAAATAAGAGAGAAAATTATTTTTTTTTAAAAACATATCTGCATATGTATGTTGTATTAAAAATAAGTGTGAAAGTTGTCTCTAAATTTGTTAGAGAATTTTGAACTGCTGGAATTTTATTAAGATTGGTGATTATAGAGGTGTAAGTCTGTAAAATAATGAAGAAAAAGTTTTGGATATCTTGTATCCATGTGTGAAGCATTGTGTCCATTTCTTGACTTTGTAGGGGTGGGGAATGGTACCAGTGGAGTGGTTCGTCTGGTGGGAGGTATGAATCCTTCCTACGGACGACTTGAAATATCAGAGAACAATGGACTTTTCTCTACTGTGTGTGAATATAACTGGGATCACAATATAGAGTCACAGATTGTCTGTAAACAGCTGGGATACAGGTTTGTAGTATCAACCTGAACCATTCAACATTTTATGTTGATGACTTTAGGACAATGTTACTTGACTCTTTTGTTTACAATTAGTGAACCTGAAATTAATATACAGCTTACTCCACTTATATTGAACTCGCTTATTTTGAAATTCCGCTTATTTTGAAATAGAAATAAACCCCCAGTTTTTGCCTCTCATATTCTTTGCATTAAAATAACGGTTATATTGAAATCGGATATATTGAAATTTCGCTTATATTGAAGCCACTGATCGGTCCCCACAGGTGATAATGAGTTGTTTTCATAACGGTTATATTGAAGTACTCCCTGGCGGCTGTCGTTACGGTTGGTGACAGTAATTATGCCTGATTGACCAGTTGATATACAAAGGTGTGAATAATTAAGTTTTCACCTTATGTGTTTTTATACTGCATGCTCTTACGAAATAAAATTCTTCACTGTTAAATTCTTTGCGTCCACGTATATAATACGGTAATATCGAGACTAAACAGCTAAACGTAATATAGTAACCCCCACAGATCGAAGAAAAACATAACTTTGAAATTAAATACGTATTAGTATTATAATTAATGGCTATTGATATGCCTAAATTCGAAATAACTAAGAGATTAACCCGAGTACACTTAATGAAATACAAGCAGCGTTCAGCAGTACTCAACTGTTTAAGTCCGGTGAATTTTCTCCAAAACGTAAATAAATGTGATCGAGGAATAATAATGAGGCTGAAGATTGTCTTTTCAATGAAACAGAAATAAAAAAAATATTTAAACTTTCAAGGACTCATGCATATTCTATGTAATATGTTCACTGTTATAGATAAACGATGACAAATTAATATGTTAGGGTTTGTTCTTCTTTATTTTAGATCGGGATTGGACTTGTAAAAATGGCGGCTTCACGATTTCGCTTATATTGAATTACGGATATACTGAAATAATTTGCATGGTCCCCTGAATTTCAATATATCCGGAGTAGGCTGTGCCAATATACTTATTTAAATATAATGAAATTAAAACAGAGCACCTGAGTCCGTGGTGTGTGATCTAATGCATGCAAACATGAAATAAAGCAGTCTTTATTTAATATATGAGTATTCTTATGTAATACTGACAAAGTAACCACAGTATCATGAAAGGTACACCACAGTATCGTGAACAAGTACATCACAGTATCATGAACAAAAACACCACAGTATCGTGAACAAGTACATCACAGTATCATGAACAAATACACCACAGTATCATGAACAAGTACATCACAGTATCATGAACAAATACACCACAGTATTATGAACAAGTACCACAGTATCATGAACAAATACACCACAGTATCATGAACAAGTACACCACAATATCATGAACAAGTACACCACAGTATCATGAACAAGTACATCACAGTATCATGAACAAATACCACAGTATCATGAACAGGTACACCACAGTATCATGAACAAATACCACAATATCATAAACAAATACATCACATTATCAGGAACAAGTACACCAAGTATCATGAACAAATACCACAGTATTATGAACAGGTAAACCACAGTATCATGATTAAGTACATCACAGAAAATTGTCTATGAGGCACTGTGATATGAATCTCCCTGGAATAAGTACATTACACTGGTATAACTCAGTTATTGAATATGTTAAATGTGTTAATCTCAAATTGACTCAAACATTGTTTCTTTGTATATTTTCAGTCGAGCTTTGAAAACATTTACCAGATCAGAGTTTGGTTTAACACGCCTGAACAGATACCATTCATATTATTATAACTGTTATGGGTACGAGACCTCCCTAAGTCAATGCAGTCGCTATACAAGGAGTACCTGTTCTACCAATAAATACACTGCAGAAGCCCAGGTGTCCATTACATGTTCTAACACAGGTATAAAGATCATTGATAATGAAGTCATCTAATAATTGTTAAAAAAAAAACTTTGATAAGACATGAATTGTATCTAAAACACAAGAAATAAAAACATTCTAATTTAGTGTGTATTATTGACAGAGTGTGTATATGGAGAGACTCCTTGTGAACCAGGCAATAACAACACTGTGTGTGTCCCTGACAAGTATTGGTGTGATGGTTATGTGGACTGTCCAGCCGCTCAGGATGAGGAGAACTGTGGTAGGTAGTGGGGCAGGGCTATAACAGGACAAACTAGAATAGAGCAGGGCTAACAGATAGGGCTAAATCAGGGCAGGGCTATATATTGCACGCCAAATTCACAAAAATGAGGTAAACCTAGTTTCACATTTGATAAACTAGGTTTATCAACTGTAAACTATAGTTTACAAACCGTAAACTATAGTTAACGATTCGTTAAGTATAGTTTTCATCTGTAAAACTATATTTAATGGTTGTTAACTATAGTTTACGAATGATAATCTAAGTTTATCTGTCTGTAATAAGCGTTAACAATAGATTTTGTTGATAAACGTAGATTCACGTTTGTAAACTATAGTTAACGGTTTGTAAACTATAGTTTACAAATCGTGAAACTGTATTTATCAGATAATCTATGTTTTGCAATCGCAAATGATTGTTTTCGGTGTGAAGTATAGTTTACGGTTGTGAAACATAGATTATCGCGTTAACTATGGTTTACAGATGTAAAATATAGATTAACGTTGTTAACTATAGTTTACAACCGATAAACCTAGATCGACTGTGAAACTATGTTTAGCTCATTTTTGTGAATTTAGCTTGACAAATTATCACAGAGCAAGGCTACTGGTATATCTGGGCAAGGTTTTAACGGGGCAAACTATTACAGAGCAGATAGGGCTATATCTGGGCAAGGTTATAACGGGGCAAACTATCACAGAGCAGATAGGGCTATAACGGGGCAAACTATCACAGAGCAGATAGGGCTATATCTGGGCAAGGTTATAACGGGGCAAACTATCACAGAGCAGATAGGGCTATATCTAGGCAAGGCTATAACAGGACAAACTAGAACAGAACATATGATTATATAACAAGATAGAGCCATATCAGGGCAGGGCTATAATAGGACAAACTACCGGTAATACAGAGATGGGCTACATAACAAGGCAGGGCTTTAACAGGGTAGGGCTATGTAACAAAACAGGTTTACAATAGGATGATGGTTGCCAGAGCAGGATTATAACAGGACACTGCTATTACAAGACAGGAATGTGATAGAGAAGGGCTGTGATAGTGAAGGGCTATGATAGAACAAGACTAATGCTCTGCTCACACAGAGAGTTTAATTCAAAACGGGCTGGGCTACAAGACAGGTTTGTAACAGGGTGGGGTGCTTTGGCAGCACTTGATTATAACATCTCAGTGCTTTAACTTTGCAGTGCTACAAGTCTACAACAGTATAACAGGTCGAGACCACTACCTTATATGGAAGGCAATTTTCTACACGTGACGAAATCTTCATTATACCCGTTCGCCAATCAAGTGAATGAGTCCCAAAGCATGACACTCTACTACGTGTTTACGATTCAATGGCGACACGTGGGTTTCGTCGGTTTCTGCCTAATATTCACTTCGTCACCGGAAAAGCCGTACATCTTCTTTATCACTTTTAAAGTCCGAAATTGAAAGATTACATTCCAAATACATTGCTCACATTTAATATTGGAGTTGTTTTAGATGATTAATACTGTATACAGGGAAATTTTCGCCCCCGTTTTATTTTCGCCCCTTTCGCCCTACCCTCATTTGGGCGAATTTAAAACGGGGCGAATACAAAGAATACAGTATAATTTCTTAAACAAAACTACGACTGGGCGAATTCAAAACGGGACAAAACTGTTTGCAAGTGTGAAAGGGCGAAAATAAGCCGGGGCGAAAATAACCCTGTATACAGTAGTTGTTTCGAAAGTTCGAATAATATGCAAACGCTTTGATGTTTGCATGTACATTAAAACGTTTTGATAATATTTAGGGGTTAAATAATGATAATAGTGCACCTTGTACTTCTGTCTAAATCTATGTACACGTATATCACGTGAAAAAAACTCAATGCTTTATCTACGCGATAGCACCTACATGTACGTCTCTTCAAAAATGGTTTAGGCCGATGTATTATAAGTGGATATAAGGCTTCATAAAGCAAATTTTGTAAATGTGAGCATAGAATTGAAAGACTATATATCAATTTAAATATTTCTTTCATAAATCTCAAAAAAGAATTGAAAATAAGTTTCCAAGGGACAATTCAAGTTGGCCTTTATTTTCAACACAGCTGAGTACTTGTAGTAGCCCACAATGCATTGCGACTCATTCATCAGTGGTTAAAGTAAACAGATAGCCAATTTACATGCAAATTTATGCTGACGTCAGAAAATCTAGTGGTCTCGACCTGTATAAGGTTATGTCAGAGCAGTGCTATAATAGGACACTGCATTATGCCATACAGTACTCTAGAACAAAGCTGTGTTTGGGGAGGATTGATTCAGATTTCTATTTGGCTCTTTTCAAGGATTGGGGGGGTGGGGGGGGGCAAGTACATTGTGTCTTTGTCTTATTCTGCATGTTGAAAGTCATCTTTGTTAGGCCATAATAAAAATATTCCTAGATTCTCATCCCCGCCCACCCCGATTTTATACTCCCACCGAGATTTTTTTATTTCTGTTTTTCTTCGTCTTAATTCTGATTGGGATCGGTATTCATCTACCATTCTACTTTCGTTGTAAATCCCGCGAAAGTCGACATGATTTTGACAGCTGAAAAGATGGTAATTGCTGTAATACATGCGTATATATTTTAAACAAGGGTCATTGGTTGAAAAAGATTGGGAGATGATATGAAGTAAGAGATAATTGAACCTTTACTGTGAATTTTATTTGGGTATTGTAGATAAAATTACACTGATTGACCAGGTCAATAAAAAATCTGCAAAATTGAAAAAATATAAAATATAAAATAAAAGCCGCCCGCCCGCCTCGAGTTTTAAAAAAATTCGGATGAGAATCTAGCAATTTATTTATTATGGCCTTAATGACTGTATTTAATATGATACGAGGGTTGTCCAAAAAGTTCATGGACAATGACGTTTTTAGCTCTTCTGAGCCAAAGGCTCAAAGAGCTAATGCTATGGCCATTTGTGCGGTGTGCGTAAACTTTTTAGAGTATGGGCCATAACTCAAGAACCCCTTGGCCAATCAGTACCAAATTTGTCACAGGGTATCCTTGGCCCAAGGGCTACCATTTATTAGCTCTTCTGAGCCAAAGGCTCAAAGAGCTAATGCTATGGCCATTTGTGCGGTGTGCGTTAACTTTTTAGAATATGGGCCATAACTCAAGAACCCCTTGGCCAATCAGTGTCAAATTTGTCACAGGGTATCCTTGGCCCAAGGGCTATCATTTATACTAAAATAAGGGTTGGGACCCTAAAACAAGGGGAGATAATCAGGAAAACAAAACCAAAAGTACTGGTTGCTAAAAAATCTTCTTCTCCAGAACCACCAGGCAGATTTTCACCAAACTTACATACAAGGATCAGGATATGTTGAAGATTAAAAATTGTTCAAGGCATGACCCTGGGGCAAAGGGCGTGGTCTCAAGGTCACTTTAAAGTTAACCTAAATTAACAATTAATAAAATTGTCTATATTTTGCTTACTATAAGGACTAGGATCATCAAATCTTGTAAGTTGATGCATCTTAGGACTTCACATCATGTTAACTCAAAAGTAGGTCACGGTGACCTACTTTTTAAATTTTGCGGGTATTTGTTTTCAAATTGATTTGAAGGCATATTTTGGACACTTTAAGGCCTATGATCATCAAACTTAGTCAGTTGATGCATCTTGGGTCCTTGAACAACGTCAACTTAAAAGTAGGTCACTGTGACCTACTTTTTGAACTTTATGACTTATACTTTATAAAACATTTAATCCCATTATTTCAGGCACTGAAAGGGTTAGAATCATCAAATCTTGTAAGTTGCTGCATCCTGGGACCTTAAAACATATTTAAGAAAAAGTAGGTCACTGTGACCTACGTTTAGAATTTTGCAGGCATTTGTTTTCAAATTGTTTAAAAGGCATATTTTTATTACCTTCAGACCTACTATCATCAAACTTGGTCAGGAGATGCATCTTGGGACTCTGAAAAATGTCGACCAAAATGTAGGTCACAGTGACCTACTTTCGACATTTTATGGCTATATTTAAGTTTCTTAGGTATTTATTGGCTTAGAATCATCAAACTTTGTCAGTTGATGCATCTTGGGTTTTCGGAGAGTGACGACCAAAAATTAGGTCGCGATGACCTACTTTCGAAATTTTATGGCTATATTTATGTATCTCCGGTACTTATTGGCTTAGAATCATCAAACTTTGTCAGTTAATGCATCTTGGGTTTTCGGAGAATGTCGACCAAAAAGTAGGTCACGGTGACCTACTTTTAAATATCTCAGGTATTTATTGGCTTAGAATTATCAAACTTGGTCAGCAGATGCATCGTGGGACTCTAAAAAATGTTGATCAAAAAGTAGGTCACAGTGACCTACTTTTGACATTTTATGGCTATAGTTATGTATCTCCGGTATTTATTGGCTTAGAATCATCAAACTTTGTCAGTTGATGCATCTTGGGTTTTCGGAGAATGTCGACCAAAAGGTAGGTCAAGGTGACCTACTTTTAAATATCTCAGGTATTTATTGGCTTAGAATTATCAAACTTGGTCAGCAGATGCATCGTGGGACTCTAAAAAATGTTGACCAAAAAGTAGGTCACAGTGAACTACTTTTGACATTTTATGGCTATATTTATGTATCTCCGGTACTTATTGGCTTAGAATCATCAAACTTTGTCAGTTGATGCATCTTGGGTTTTCGGAGAATGTCGACCAAAAAAGTAGGTCACGGTGACCTACTTTTGACCTTTTATGGCTATATTTATGTATCTCTAGAACTTATTGGCTTAGAATCATCAAACTTTGTCAGTTGATGCATCTTGGGTTTTCGGAGAATGTCGACCAAAAAGTAGGTCATGGTGACCTACTTTTGAATATCTCAGGTATTTATTGGCTTAGAATTATCAAACTTGGTCAGCAGATGCATCTTGGGACTCTGAAAATTGTCAACCAAAAAGTAGGTCACAGTGACCTACTTTCGACATTTTATGGCTATTTTCAAGTATCTTA